TTTTCTTTAAAAAAAAAAAAAAAGTTGAAATTTTAAAGTATGTGCATCACTCAGTGTAATCACACAAGATCAGCTCAAAAATTTATTTTTACCTCTATTTCTTTCCCCTAAGACTGCAATACCCACACATTGAACTAGAGGTCTATTGCATCATCTTTTAGCACTTTGAAAAATGCAGTAAAAAATCACTCAATGCCTTCCAGGTTTAGTACAGAAGAGATCCACTAACAATTAAAAATAAAGTGCTGTGTATTTGATATGCAAGAGACCTTACAGGGTTAGAGAAGTTTACTTTGAAGTTGGTAGTTTGTTGCTCAAAACGTACCTATGATTCTATGTCTTTATACGTCAAACAATCTTACTAATATAAATTAAAATTTATTAGAACACATATCCATGAAAGATTTTTTTTTAATCAAGATTCCCTTTCTGCTCATCTAGCAAAAAACCTTACTAGTCATCTAACTAGAATAACTTCAAGATTAACTGCCCCAAACACCCCTGAAGTTAAATTTATAGAGCAATTTCCCTTCATAAGACCAAACCACATATAATTTTTAAAAATTTAAATCATTAAAAAAATTCACCTAATTCACATCTTTGATTTCACAGATAAAGAAACCAAAACTCTTGAGAAATTAAAGGTTATACTCAAAGTCAGCTGCTACTTAATTGATGAAACAGGACTAAGTTCCATGAATTTTAAGACTAGGATTTTTTTCTATGTTCAACTGGCTTATAGAATATACAACGAATAACATGTGTGTATACACATATGTATACAGGTGTGTGTGTGTGTGTGTGTGTGCGCATATATGCTATGCTACTCAGATTTTTTTGCTGAAGGATTTTTTAATTCCTCTCTATTGGTGAGGAATGTGAGAACATGAATAAAAATGGCATTCCTACTTCCCTATTACTCTGATTTTTTTTCACTGAATTTTATTTCAGTGCCCAATTTGCAAACTGTTTATCTATTATGTACAGGCACTAGAGTTAGATGCTAAGGAAACAAAGGAAAAAAAAAAAGACATGGTCCCTACCCTTAAAAAAAAATCTGAATTTTAAGTTCAAAATACCTTCCTAAGTCTCCTTTGCTGATTCCTCCTCATTTTGTAAATGCTAGAACCATGCTGTCCAATAGAAATATGTGAGTCACAAATGCGAGTCATATATGATTAAAAATGTTCTAACAACTACATTAAACACAAGTATAAATATATTTAATTCAATATATCCGAACTATTATAATTTCAACAAGTAATCAATATAAAAATTATTAATGAGATATTTCCAGTTGTTGCTACGTGGTCTTCAAAATATGATGTACAGTTTACCACTTGCAGTACGTCTCAGTTGACACTAATCACATTTCAAGGGCTCAATAGCCACATGTGACTAGTGGCTACTTTACTGGATTGTGTAACCCTAGAAAACTAGAATGTCTCAGGGCTCAGTCTTTAGACTGGTTCTTGTCTCTAGCTATGCCCACTCTTGTAGGAACCTTAAAACAGTTTCATGGCTTTAAAACCATCTATATGTTAATAATTCCCAAGTTAACACCTGGCCCAGACCTTTTTCCTGAACTTTAAATTCATACACAACTACTTGGACACAAATCTAACATGTCCCAATCTGAACTCTTGACCTATAACAAGCACCCATACCTAAATCTGCTTCTCTTCCAGACATTGCCATTTCAGTAAAGGGAAACTCCCATCTTTTCAGTTGCTCAGGAAAAAAGCCAGAGTCAAGCATGACTCCCTTCTTTCTCATCCTATACACTTTCCACTACTCTGCACTGCACCTCAAAAACCAATGATATGTTATATGCCTTACAATCCAACCAATTATGGTGATTGCCCATTACCCTCCCACCTCAAAAAAGGAAGGAAAATAAAAGCATGTATCAAACAGTATACTGTAATTGTTTGTCAGGACAATTTATATTTCAGGGAAGAAAGTTTATGGAGATGAGACATCACCATGCAAAAAGAGGCAAAACGCATGTTTAGAATTGTCACAGATATAACCAATAGGTAGAAGAAGTAAGTGTAAGACAGTTTGTATTTCATTTTCAAAAGCTAACAACTCATGAAGTTATATGTCTTCGGAAATTTGGACGAACTTTATCATATCACTGATGAAAATGACATACCTCACGTTCCATGCAGTGGTAAAGTCTGGGTTTAGAAGCAGCAGGGTGCATGTGACATCTATCAATTCTAAAATAAAGAGAACTCATATTAAAAACAAACAGTCCTACCTTTAAAGCTTGGCTTCTCATTCTTTTAAGGATCTCTTTCTCTCTATCACATTATACTAATATATATGTCATGTCATACTAACTTTAATGATAAATACCCTCTTCTAAGATGTCAGGGATATGAAGATTATCCTCAAGACCTTCTACTTATGGTAAGTGTAACTCTCTTAAAAGCTGACACAAACAGTTTTACAATATGACTATAAAGAATAGTCTAATCTCTTCACTTTTTTTTTTTTTTTAGTACTTTTTGGTACTAATTTAATATTTACCAAGGACTACAGGCATGCACCACCATGCCCAGCTAATTTTTTTGTATTTTTCAGTAGAGAGGGGGTTTCACCATGTTGGCTAGGATGGTCTCGATCCCCTGACCTCATGATCTGCCCACCTCAGCCTCCCAAACTGCTGAGATTACAGGCGTGAGCCACCATGCCTTGCCAAGAAACATAATTTCTATGCCACTATTCACTTAACTCCACAAATATCTCAAGTATTAACTGTGAATGCAAATTTTCAAAAGGAAAAAAAAATGACTCAGAATCCAACCCACTTAACATAATTCATTTAGATTCTCCTGCAAAAATTATCCTTTCTTGCACATATTTTTACATAGTTATAGCAATGATAAATGCAAAACTTTGTTCCATTTTTTCACTAAGTATTTTATCATATGCATTCTCCTATACAGTATGTCTTTTTATCAGTTGCATTACAATTCCTTAGTCCGATATGTGATCAATTACCTTGCTCTTTAGGCTGTTTTCTGTTTGTTTTTAATGTTATAGATAATACTACTATAAACATTTGTAAACAAATTTTTTGTCTTGTAGACTATTTTCTTGGAATATATTTCCTGAAGCAGAACTACTATGTCAAAACAATATAAAAATCAGTATGACTCCTACTAAGCATTTCCAAATTGTCCTTCAAATGGGCTGTATCTATTTATACTGCCAAAAGAAACATGAGTGTACTTATGTCCCTATAACTGACCTATATATATTTTTAAAAATGAATGTGACAGATTAAAAAAAAAACGATTAGTTTCTTTGAATTTATATTTGTTAATATGAACATTTTCATTGTTTACTACATATAGTTCATCTTATGAACTGGCTATTAACATCCATTAGCTATTTATTTATCATGGTCTTGAGAATTCCTATATATTCAAATAAGCGCCATAAGCCTGTATTTAAAGGAGAAAAATTAATAAAGTTTAGACACATTGTCTTTGTCTTACTAAAACTGAAAAGAATTCTAGGATTAAGATTATCAATTTAGGGGCACAGCATGAAATTAATGTAACCCTACCAAGCTCTTATTAAATGCCATGGAATAAAATAATTATTACCATTTATTTAGCATTACTGTGTATGAGGCATGGTAGTAAGCACTTCATTTTATATTATTTCACTATATTCTCACAATCACAATCCAAAATATTCTTATCCCACTTTACAGATAGGGAAACTGAAATTTTGCAATTTAAACAATTGTCCCGTGGTCACTCAATTAGCATGTGGCCAAGTCAACATTAAAATTGTTTCCAACAAGTCAACTCCACTGCAAACAAAATTTCTGCCTACAATAATGGGGACATTTTCAGTGTTTAAGTAAAATATAAACTTTTTAAAATCTAAGAGCAAATACACATAAATATATCCAACAGTCATTTAAAAATATTCTAGTTAACAACAAAATCAATTATTTTATTCTATCTTAATAGGAAATTAACACTTATTTGGGGCCCATGATTTCATTACTTGTGAGCATACTGGAATATTCAATTCAAATGAACAATAATTGGATCAGCACACATTTATTTTGACCTCCAAGTCATTACATACATTACAATACAAAATGCCTATGAAGAATAATTAACGTCTTCATTTTTTTTTTTTTTTTTTTTTTTTTTTTTTTTTTTTTTGCATTAATTTAATGTTTTTCAATAAAAAGAAATATATTCTATATCACTATTCATTTAATTCCACAACTATTCCAAGTATTGACTATGGGCAAATATTAAAGTAGGCCCTTAGGACTGAGAGAATGAATGTAATGATAAATAAGGCTTAATTTTGCCTCTAAGTTATCCTCAAGTTGGAGAGACTATATAAACAAATATTATATAAGGCAAAATAATTATTAAGTCGAACATAAACCACATTTTCGGGCCCACCAAAGAAGCTGCAATTAATTCTCAGTGAAATTATACATGAAAGACTATAAACAAATAAAGGGGTCATGGTACCACCTTACCATACTGGAAAAAGTATGAGCAAAGATAAAAATGCATGGAACTTCACACATAGTCTGCTCTCCAACAGATTATGAATACCAGAGCATGACTACAACACAACGTACTGGTAAAATGTACCAGGAAATGAAGCCTCTGAAACCTGGTCCCAATCTCCTGATCAGCCTGGACTTCCTTTACTTTCCTTTACGTGCTATATTCCAACTGAGTCAAACCCCACTATCCTATGAACACACCTCCTACCTGCCTACCTTGTCTTCTCTGAACATAATTCAGATTCACCTGCTTGCTATTCTTTCGGCCTCATGTCTTCCTATCTCCTAATATTTAACCAAACAAAATTTAAAGACTTTCCTAACCTACCTAACTGCAAAAAAAGCTTTTTTCTTTTTTTGTTTTTTTTTTTTTCCTTTGAGATGGAGTCTCACTCTATAGCCAAAGTTGGAGTGCAGTGGCATGATCTAGGCTCACTACAACCTCTGCCTCCCAGGCTCAAGCGATTCTCGCGCCTCAGACTTCCTAGTAGCTGGGACTACAGGTACATGCCACCATTCCTGGCTAAATTTTTGTATTTTAGTATAGACAGGGTTTTACCATGTTGCCCAGGGTGGTCTGGAACTCCTGAGCTCAGGTGATCCACCCGCCTCAGCCTCCCATAATGCTGGATTTATAGGCATGAGACACTGCACCCGGCCTCATCTCTGTTTTATGTGTCTCTTACTTTTGTTACTTATATAAATATCCTCTTAATTGGACCATATATTTTTTGTACACAGGTCTTCCCAAATACATCTTCAAATTATTCATTCAGTCAACAAATTTTGTAAGCATCTACAATAAGCCAGGTACTGGGCTGGCTTAAGATAAGTAAGCACAGTCCCTGCCCCAAAGCAGCTCCATGTCTGACCACAGCACAGAGGAGTGGTAAGAGGATAGGCCTTCCTTAAAGCCATACTACCTAGGTTTGAATCCCAGCTTCTCCACTTACTACCTACATAACCGAACCTGTTGGAACCTCAGTGACACAAGGATAATAACCTCAACCTCACAGTGTTGTGAGCAATGAAATTCATTCTACATCTCCACAGCTTTTTAACACACAGTGAGTATTCAGTAAATTTTGTTCACCAAAACGCCATCACTACTGACTGACCAAGAAATGAATATTTTCAACATAAGTAAGGAAGTCTGGAACAAAGAGGAGGTTGTTCCCTTAGTAAAACTGTCTAAATTTCCAAACTTGTAAAACAGGCAGCAATAACAAAAAAACCCTTCATAGTCAAGTATTTATATGGAGAAGTTTGTAAATGATGGGAAAGCCTCTGAAATTTCTTTTGATATCTACAATTTTCCAAAAAGTGATTATTTTACCTAGGTAAATTGGTTTAGTCCCTTGGAATCTCCCTTTCTACATTAAAGAAAATGTGTCTGACCAATGGTAGTTGCTATTTGTTTGTACTTCTAACACATTCCTCTTCTCCCTCCATCGTAAGTGAAGACAAGAAGTCCATCCTCCATGATCCTCCATGGCACTTCTGTACAGCAGCACAAGGCAAAAACTAACAAACACAGCAAATACTTAAGTCCCTGCTTTTAATTTTATGGCTATGTGAAGACAGAAGAAAGCTTATCAAAGCAACGTTTCCTCTACTGGCGGGTCTCTCCCTAAGAGAGCAACAGCAGCTATTGGGTTCAGCTCCATCACTTACTGGGAATTCTTGGGCAAATCACTTAATCTCTCTAGGCCTTAGTGTTCTCCTCATATGTAAGATGGGTATATTATATGATTAAAACCCTTGAAGTGTTAGTAGAGTCTGACATATAATAAGCACTTAATGGTAATTCCTGTTACAAAGCCTCCATTTCCCAGTCCAGTTACACAAATGATATTAGGACTGGATGCCTCCAGAGGGAGCAAAAGAACTTCCTAAGCTGGCTAAGCAATGACTGCTGAGCAGAGGGATACTTTCTGAATTTTAGGATTTAAAATATCAACAGCCTTGACCATCATCAGTGGTACCTAGTAACACATACAACCACAGGCCCTTCTCTTCTCTCTTTCACAAACTGCTAAATCTTCCTCTTTCAGGACTGAGTTTCAGACAAGACTTCCTTCAGTAAGTATTCCAGTTTGATTTAAAAGGTAGGGTAAAGTGCAATGACAGAAATGAGAAAGGAGTAGAAGTAACTAGATTAGAAGTATTGGACATAATTAAAGAATCAGATCCTCACAACAACCCTTTGAGGTCTTGATTAGTATTTCCTTCTTTTGATGTGGAAATAGAAAGAAAGAGGTTAAGTAATTTGCTAAGTCATTGCTAAGTGACTTCAGCGTGCTGACGAGTTCGATTTAAATCCAGGTCTGCCGTCCTGCAAAACAGATGTTCTTTCACTCTGCCATACTACAGGCAATTACTTTGCCTTCTGTAAGTCAGGACTGAACCAAAGACCTAAAGAAGAAAATGTATAATCAACAGTTGTAACTATTTCACTCTCTCAATTTCATCAATGATATAAATTTCCTCTGAAGTTTCACCCATACCAGCAAATAAATGTATGTTCCTTTGTTACACACATTACATGACTAATCCATCATCATTTTCTCACAGGGAGAAAATGAATCAGGCATATTATACATAGAAAAGTAGCTAAATTTCACCTATAACAAGGAAAAGATAAAAGGATGCTACATAAGTTGGAGAAAAATCAATATACTTTTCTTGCTTCACTGCATTCTAGAAATGGCCAAGGCCAGTAGTCACCTGGTAATGGTCACTGGATTTGACAACTGACTCTTAACAGAGAAAGGTTTTCATGCATCTAGAAATAAATCCAAGGTCAACTTGAATCAGTTATTCTTTTCCTCCAAAATACACTCAGGTTACCACAAGAAGTGAGGCTTGAGGTAAAGCTATATGGTAAACATCAGAGAGGACTTGTTCATTATTGTACACAGTCACTGAACCAATAGCTAGACTAAGCTAAAAACTCTTGCTTACCAACTCTTGTTACTCGTTTGACAAATGTCTGTTGAACACATAAAGCTGCTCGGTAAACAAAGATGAGCCATAATCCCTTTTCCTAATAAACTCACATTCCAGCCAGGGAAACAGTTGTTTAAATAGTCAGCTAAAATACCATGTGACAAGGGATACTATTATGCAAGCCATCTAAATAAAGGACTCCCATAACAGAGAATTGAATAATTATTACTTCTTGAAGTAGTCAAAAAGGCTTCACAGTGTTAAATGTGTGTATGTGTATGCACATGCATGTGCTGGCAACCACACTAATACCGCCTTAAGACATGAGCCTGGCCTCAGCAAAGGCATGGAAGTAAGGCAGTAGTATACACAAAGAATGGAAGAATGCTGCTTGTGGCCACAATGAACATATGTGTCAAATGGCTGCTAACATAAATGCTTCTAGTATTCAAATGAATGTCAAAAAAGCAGCAAAGGAAATTTGACAAGAAGTGTCAACTAACACTCTGCCACAGTGTCTCAAGGGCTTGAAAAGGCTGTGATAAACTGGAACAATCTTCTGATTTTTCAAGTGAATACAGAAATCAGATTTATCCAACTAATAAAAAGCAATTTTTAAGACAGTATACAAGCCACATCAAAATGTATCTAGATAAGCTTCATCCTGGGGGCTGAGAATCTGCAACCTCTGATGCTGAATATAAAGTGGAGGAAAGACTGGGAACAGACTGTGAAGGGCCTTGAATATCATACTAAGTAGTTTCAACTCTACGTTGACCCTGTGGGTATCATGAAATAAGATGAGCACATAACGTATTTCAGAAAAACATCTGTCAAACTGTTTCAGCGTGTCTGAAATGACTGGCTACTGGCATGACGGACATGGGTCACAAAAGAGCCTGGAAATGGGGTAGACCCGTTATAAGGTAATATCATTTGTCTGGGTGAGAAATAATGAAGGCCTGGTCAGCCAAAGAAATGGAGAGCAGAAGATGGCTTTTAAAGAGAGAGCTCAGTTATAGACTAAGTAGGGGTTGTGAAAAAGAAAGGAGCAAGAACAGATGGCAGGAGGGCACACCTGAAGAGACTGTGCAAGAGAGCTCTGTCCGAAAGAACTTCAATGCTGTGGTCTTTCCTCCTGCTTCTTCTATCTGTTATGGTTTTCTCAAACATCAGAATTATAGAATCGGTTCTCTCCCAAACCAAATGTATTACTATTGCAGACTTAAAAAAAAAAAAAATCAATCTCTAACGAAACAGGAATAATTTCTAAACACCTAAAGAATTTAACAGGTTAATGAAAACAAGAATTTAGTTTAGTTATGAAGGAAAAAATCTATCTCAGGAGTAAAGGTCACCTTCAGTTACAGAATACATTTTTAGGTGGATGCCTAGGATTCTGGCATGATTAGTCATACAGACAAACATTCGGAAACTGTCCCATAAATTGTCAGCTTTCTTCACTTGGGTCTTCTAATATGTATATTCTCTATAACAAACAATTTTAAAGGTATAGCATTTTCGTGAAATAGCTGCTTTTTCCTAACATTTTTGACATGTTTTGCTTAGCAAGATTCACCTCTGTGCTCTAATTGCTTCAGTTCATAAGTCTGCAGAATACTCTTTTATTATCAGCATTTTCAGATATATTTTTCTGTCAGACCCAAAATTAACTTCCTTCTATTTACTGATAATACAATATATAACCTGAGTGGTACATGATACCATACAAAACTATGCTATCCCCATGCCCCCACCCCAAAATAGAGAAATAGAAAACTGCTTCCATGAGGATATAGGTTAGAATCAAATCAAAAGCTGCTTTTGGACACATGCATCAGTTGCATCCGAATTCAAAACTATTCGTGTGAGTGAGCTTAACCATTTTATCTTCTGCAAGGTTCCTCTTGAGCCTATTAAAACAAAAACTATGTGGTAAGAAGATACAGAAAGGCCTGCAATACAGTGCCCAGAAGGACAAAACAGAGAAGTGGAGAGGACTTGGAAGACCATAGGAAGAAGGTAGGTTGAGCTAGCATACATAAATGGGGAACTATAGCCTTTCACTTTTTAAAAATTGTTTCTTTGCTATAAGATAATCATTTTATCCCCCAACTAAATTTAGTTATACATTGGTTTGATTATATATTTCTGTGCACCAGAATATAAACACCAGAGCTTTGTTTGGCAAAAAATAACTTAATGGAGTCTTATGGTGTTACTTTTTACCTCAATGTTACTGAAAACTATAGCATGGCAATGGAATGCAGAATTAAAGAGGGTCTAACAGATAAACTTGCTTACCTTTAAGTTTACACCTAAACCTATGCCTTAAAGTTTATGCTATAAACTTGGGCTATGGCTAAACTTAGGCACAGCCTTCTAATAAGGAAATATATATCAAAGGACTGAGTTAAACAGTCAAACAGAAAATAGAAACCACTGCTCATTAAACCTTCAAATCAGAGTCCTTTTCTGTGCTCTCATAAGGGAAAAGTGTTATTAACCTATTAATGACAGTAGGTTACAGATAGCGCTGAGGGAAATTCAAGGAAATCAGTAGGTCATACATTTGGCAACACTCTTCTCTACATCTCTCACCCCCAAAGAGATTGTTTGTCACTCAACTGTAAGCTTCTTGAATAAGGGTTATTCATCGTTTTATCCCCGACAGTAATCAAAACAGCATCTGGTATGAGTAGACCTTTGGTAATGGCTACCAGGCTGGCAACTAAAATTCTCTAGGAAACAAAGTTTTTATTCAAAATCAGCCTCCAGGCATATTGAGCACTTCTGAAGGTACTGCTGTATGAGGGAAGGGGAAGAAGCTTTACAAAAACAGTAAAGGACATGGTCTTAAATGAGTCTTCTCCCAAAAATACCTAAGGTGAGCATACAATGAAAAACAGAATTTGTGCACATGAAGGCTTAATATTGCAGAACACCAAGAAAAGAGACCAGATGGAATGATTAGTGATTGTCTGATGCAGCAAAAAACTCTCTGAGAGAAATGGAAGAAGTGAATGCCGGATAGTTTTGTTTTGCTCATTTCAGCACAGGAACAGGACACAAAGGGCCAGAGCTCAAATGGGACTTGCAGTGGAATGGCACATCATAAATCACTGGGCCGGTCCACAACATACCTATAACATCATGCCTACATTATCTCATTTGGACTGCTTTGAAAATGAGTTCTGCTGCTTATAAAATACTGAAGGATTGGAAACCAGAGATTGAGCCTGAAGGGACTAGAGTCTTCCTCAGAGACATTCAGATTTTTTTTCCCCTTCAAATAAAATCTCTTATGACCCCAATACATAAACAGATAAAATGTGAACTGCTTTGGTTACCAGAAGTACAGTGAAATTCTGCTTGAGGCCTTCCATATAATCACTGTGGTTGTAAAATTTGTCCAAGTGAGTCCCAACTACTCACGTGACAGAAAGGTTAGCACCTACTGCGACAGTGAGTGGAAGAGCCAGAACTAGAATCCAGAAATGCAAAGACTCAGACAAGGACTGTACCTAATACATGCCATGTCACTTCTAAAAACCAAAGGAAGAAAATATGATTCATACTCACCATCTCTGTTCAGCCACTGCTTTCTTGTTCTGTACAAAAGGAGCTTGTTGTGGACATATGGTAAAAGGAACTTCACACACCAGCTCTCCACACCCAGTTTGTTTTCAACAAGGACTATGGGACTCCGGTTATACCTAGCTTCAGGACATGGGATCAGGCCAATTTCATCTCTTAATATGTAAAACACAAGAAAAGAATTAAAAATAAGAATTCTAACCTTTTCAACATGTTTCTAATTTCAGAATATTTTTAAAACCTCACATATTTCCTTCTTCCTTAAAAATATTATTTAGCTCACTTACTGGAATTGGCAGATGTTAACAGTGACAAGAATATGGTAAACCAGTATGCTGTACTCTCTGTTGTCAGGAGTGAAAACTGGTTGTGCCTTTGGACGGCAACTTAAAAATGTCTTTCAAAATTTTGAGTGAACATACCCTTTGATCCAGCAATTCAACCGCCCAGAAATTATCCTATGCCAAAATACATGAATCAGACGGTCACTGCAATGTTGTAACAAAACTAAAAACAATCTAAATGTTTATCAAGATAAAACTAGTAAAATAAATATGGCCCATCCACATAATCAAGCCATTAAAAAACAATGAGGTAGATCTGCATATGTTGATATAAAAAAAGCTGCCAAGATATATTAAATAAAAAAAAAAAAGCAAAATGCTGAACACAGTGTACAGCACAAAGCCTTTGTATAATTTTTTTAGAAGATATACAGATGCATTAAAAATTTTCTTGGAAGGATAACAAGAAATTTTTGAAGAGAGAAAGGTGTTAAGGAAGGATTTTATTTTTATACAGTTTCAATTATCTAGCAAATTCAATGTATTTCTATTTTTAAAACGTCAACAAAAGTGTTTATGCCTGCCTGCTAATAAATGCATGTGGTCCAGAAACAAAGTATCAACAACAACAACAACAAAAAAAGTTATTTTATCAGTGAGATTTTGGGCCATATTTTCTTCTTTATACTTTCCTGAATTAAAAAACCACCCAAATAAATGTTAAAACATAAAATACATTTCAGAATTCAATCATTTTCGTCTGTGCTAGCATCTATATCCCTCAATCCACCTCAATTTAAGCTGAAAATTTGCATTAAAGGTAGAGATTTAACAAACAATATGTATGGCATTTGACTTACTTAGTAAATGAACCAGCAAACATAAAAAATTTTTGCAAAACACACTCACATGCCTTTCAACTATAAAGGAAGTTATAATTATTGCCTACACAAAGCATCCTTTTCAAACAGAATGTCCTCTGTTTAATCAATGAATAACAAGAAACTTTGTAACAGTAAGAGCAGTTGAAATAAGTAGAGTGTCTATATAGATATTTAAAACATGTCTTTAAAAAGTAGAATAATGAACTGGTTTTCAGAGTTTGTGTGAGACATTATCTATTATATCCCTGGCATTCCCTTACCAAGAACACAGTGGTTTGACAGACCCAAAAAAGGGGAAACTGGTTCAATTACAGAGTATGAAAAACACCCTGTCTTTTTGTTGGGCAACTATCACAAACTGGTAGGAGGCTGTGGATTTAAAATAAAACCCTCCTGGAAATGAAACTGGATAGCTTAGAGGTAATTTACTTTCCACTGATCACTTCATTAGTGACCCAGCAGTTTATCAAAAAAAAAAAGGGTATCTTAGGGGTTGCAAGTCATAAACAATTTTTTCAAGCTAATTTAACCCTCAAGTACATTGTAGGATCTATAGGTTTTTGTCCTTACAGTTGGTTCAGTTGGCTCAAAGGTGTTTTGATATACTATATCAATATTATCATTTTTCTGATGACCTAACAATGTACTAGGTACTTTGTGAGGTTCTAAATTCAAAAAGAATAAAGCAATTGGTCTCAGACTTCAAAGAGCTAAAGTCTTGCTGGGGAACTGTATCAATTTCCCTAATAAAATGCTACCCACTTAATATAAATAAAGTCCTGTAGGAAGAATATGGAAAATGCTGAAAGAGCACCTGAGGTCAATGCCCAGTATTTCAAAATACATTTTTTGGATCTCTATTTGGTGATATTAACCTGAAATCTATCTAATTCATTATGACCCCTAGCCATATCTAGCTATACTTGATTAATATACAACTGAATCTCTAGTATTTTCTGATGTTTGTGTTTTACTACATGAAGAATATTAAAAAATAAACTAAGTAAAACTAAATAATAAACACGATGTGATCACTTCAGGGAATTCCGTTCTCTGAGCTATAATAACCTACTTACAACACTTCAAAGAACTGCAAGAGTCAACAACATAAATGTTATAGTAACAAGAATAAAAGACTCCTGTTTCTGGGTATGGTTTGTTTTGGGGGGAAATTTTTTACTTTTTTATAGTTAAACTCACAATGTAAAAACCTGTCTTGCTCACTAATTAAACTGGGTTTAAAATGCCCAACTAATAATTTGGTATCTAAACTACAGGAAAGAGCCATCTGCACAACTGAAAAACACACTGCTTTGACTGGCTGTTCTTTCAAGAAATACTTTATAAAATAAAAATGGCTTGGACTTAGCAGGTGCCAAATAACTGCTTCCTGACAGGCTGATTATCCTTGTACTTCAATGATAATATTCAAATTAATAGTTTTCATTTCTTGACCCTCTAAGAGAACATTATCTCTGATTTTCTTCTAATAAAGTATACTGAAAACAGCATGTGTCCAACACCTGGATGGAAATATACAGACATACACACACACATGCACATACATATCAATATCATGTCATTTTGGTTTCTATAGACTTCAGTTTCCTCATTTGTAAAATGGGCTAGATCTTACCCAGCTTTCAAATTTTATGACTGAGAAAACTAGCAGCTATTTTCATGTAAGGATAATAAAAACAGTCTTAAACAGAGTAAAGCATTAGGGGTAAAAAACACATGAAAAGAGGTAGTTGGGTGTGGAGACAAAAGTACTTGATTGGAAGTCCAGAGTTCTAGTTAGTTTCCATTCTATCTACTGACAGGCAATGCGAATTTGATAAGTCACTTGCCATCAGTATCCTCATCTGAAATATAGGAATAATATCTTCCCCACTTGTTCTGGAAAAGAAATAATGTCATGTGAAGAATGTGGGAAACTACAAAGTGTTAAGCAAGATGAAAGACAGTACCATTAATTCATTTAAGAGCCTTTAGTCTACCAGTAGAGTTCGTTGGTTAATAGATAACAGAAAGCCGAGGCAAAGAATTTAAGCCTTTGTCAAGTTATGTAACCCTAAAATACAGTGTTATGCTGCTTCCTAAAAAGCATAACATGTACTTTGTAAAGACAGATAAGTCAGTAAGCTTCCAAATAATAGTATGCTTGACTTCAGACTTCTGTGCCTCGTCCCTTAGCTCACAGTCCACTTTTTTCCAACCAATTTCCAACGGGATTCTTTCCAGAATCATTTTAAAGTTGGAAAGGACTACATTCCTCTGTCATTTTTTCCGATGAGGAAACTGAAGCTCAGTGAGGTTTATAAGGATTACCTAATGTCATATTGCTAGTGGCTAAGTTAATACTTAGCCTCAAACCCTTGACACTAGAATGAAGAGCAAAACAGGATTTAGATCAATTCTTTCTATTTCTCTGGCAATTTAAATTCTAATTCCATACTCAAGAAACATTGGGAAACATAGGAAAAAACAAACTAAAAGTCTTTTTGTGTGTGTGTGTGTGTGTGTGTGTGTGTGTGGTAGAGATGGAGTCCTACTATGTTGATTGGGCTGGTCTCAAACTCCTGGCCTCAAGTGATCCTCCTACCTCAGCCTCCCGAAGTGTTTGGATTACAGGTGTCACTGTGCCCAGCTGGGTATACATCCTTTTTTTCCCTACTTTCAAAAAGTGAGATCATATTGAACATATTCTATAATCCTTTGGGGAAAAAACTGAGCAATTCACATTAAACATTTTCCCACATAATCAATTTTGATATTTTTTAATGGTTGCAATGAACATGCTATAAATATCAAACATATTTCTAGTTATTTCTTAACAAAATAGTCTTATGAGAGAAATGTTTACATTCTTTCACTACCAATAAATTACACTCTTTTACTTTGTTAGGTTTCTGGCCATTTACATTCCTGGTATTTAACAAGGTGTTCAAGTACCTGCATTACTAAGATCATAAGATTTTTAAAGACATGACGGTTTGGGACAGCAATCAAGTTCTAATCATGCTCATTATTTAGGTTACCTTCATCACAGGCTGCTCCAAAGGCAGAGCAACATGGAATGAACCAGCACATTTACTTAAGATCACACACAGTATGATACATCGCTTTGAGCACCTCACTTCACAATGGGGATCCATTCATTGGCTTCCAGATGATGTTCAAAGTTCATGTAACACTGATATTGACTTTGTTTCTCATGTTTAGACAGCTTCTCCTGTCTGTTCTTTTCAGAAACACCATCAACTAGAATAGAGCCACTTATTATCCACAAAAGTTGTATCAACCAGCTTACCTTCTGGGAGAGATGGATGGTACCCAAATACTAAAACTGAATCCTGTAATGTAGAGCAACCAAACAGGAAACAGTCCAAGGATTCAGGAAATGGTAAAAACATTTTAAATCTAAATAGTAGTTACTTTAGTTTTATTCTTCCCCCACCCCCGCAAAAGGACTGGAATTTTTTCCAGCATGACCAAAAAGGAAAGCTAGTAAAATATCTAAAGGAACTGACCCTTGCATATTGATAATTAAAATTCTACTGATGATTTAGATATTTCAGAAACCTCATAGGCTTTCTCATTAATTCCAAAGACCATCAACTTCATGTTTCACTGAAATTATATTTCCGACCTTATTTAGAAAAAGCTACACAAATCACTACTGTTTATTGTTTTGTTATTTGCCATGCATGGTTAGGTTTTACATATATTATTTTATTCTGCACAATAATCTCATAAAGTAGAAATTTTGATACCATTTAACAAATGAATAGTCTTGTCTAAGTCTAGTCAGTTAATAAATGGCAAGATTGAAATTCAGTTAGACAGCTTAGACTGTAAAAGTCTAAATCCAAATTTTTACAATGATATGGCACTATTTAAATAAATAAATAAAAATCAAGTATAAGAAGCCCAGAAGACTCTGGTTTTCTATTCTTCAGTTTACCTTGCAGGCAGTCTAAAACTATCTTTCATTATTCTTCACCAAAAAATTTTCACTGGGGTCTACCCATTGCCTTAGAAGTATACATCCCTGAGCAACTCTTCTTCACTTCTCATGTCTCACTGAGTTTAAATGCTATGGCCTCAAAAAGAATTATCTTGACCTTCTCATCTAAATCAGGCCTCCTTGTTATTATTCTAAGCACACTTCTTACTTTTTCTGACTCTTTTCATAATCCGTATGTTGACTATCTAAAGTTCCATTAGGACAGGGACCATGTATGGTTTGTTCATTAAACCACCTAGCTTTTAACCCTGTATACCCAGAGACCAGCATTGTGCCTAACAAACAGAGGTACTCTTTTGTGGAATGTATGAATGGAATGAAAGAAATTAAATGAGAGTCAAGGACTTCCATAATCTGGCCCTACTGTACCTTCTCAGTCACATTTTGCTTCTTTAGGTCAATTCACTGCTCCCTGTGAAGGTCTCTGGCTCCCTCTGAGACTACAAATCCCATTCAGACTTCAATATTCAGCTTATAACCCAGCTCTGCCGAGAACCCTATCCCAGATATAATCAGCCTCCCCTCCACTTCTATTAGACTCCCATTGCACTTGCTCACCATGCTGCCATCTAATCTTTACTATAAACTACTTTGTGGGGTGAATTTACTGTTCATGCAGTAGGTCTTAGGTCTCATCTACACCTGCACTGTGCAACAGAGCAGTCACTGGGCACATGGAGACTCTATGCACAAATCAATTAAAATTAAATAAAATTTAAAATTCAGTTCCTCTTCACATGAGGCACATTTCAAGTGCTCAATAGCTACAATGGCTACTGGCTACCATACTGAACAGCACAGACATAGAAAATTTCCACCATTACAGACATCTCCCTTAGTGCCTTGAGTACAAGAACTGTATTTTAAACTAATATTTCACACAGTAAAGATGGTACCTACAACACCTTATAAATAGTGAGAGTTCAATAAATATTTAATAGAAAAAACAATAACTTGCTAGACAAGATAATTTTAACATGACTATTTACATTGCAAACTGATGTCTTCTACATTAGCACAGGGTCTATATACTAAGTTAAAGACTACCCCTAAGTCAAGTTTTCAGTTTCAAAGAATCCAATATGATTATCTAATAGTCAACCATACAAACATTTGTATAGTATTATCCAGTTTACAAAGTGCTTCATATTCACCAATCATTTGGCCAATATATTTCTGGTTAGGAACACAGAGATTCAGGGTAAGCCTAATATTTACTTAGTGGCAACTAAGTACCACTGTGTGAGGTGATTCTCCTGTGTTCTTATCAGCCTCACAAGATCAAGAGGAAACTGAGGCTGAGAGAAGGTACCTATTCACATTATACAGTAACAAAATCCACATCTCACCACTGCATCCTCAACACCTTCTGGCTAAATATTTCTACATAAACAAAGTCATAGTACTTAATGACGATGTTGACTAATAAAATTACAATCTATCTTGAGTTTGGAGAAGGAAAACAGAATGAAAAACTCTCACAATACTGAAAGTGCAATTAGATACAGTAAAGTTAGATACAAACGTTACAGATAAACAATGCCTTTAACAAAAAAACAAAAACAAAAAACAAAAAAACACACACAAAAAAACCACAGCCTCTTTATTTTGGGAGTAAAAGGGCTAAATTAAGGGAAGAAAGTGCAGGCAATTTTGAAAAGCCCAAATTATAAGGCACTTAAAAAGATGCATAGTAATATTATTGAAGATAGTTTTATTGTGGGGAATATATACTAAAACATAGCTGATGACTAGTATTAAACATTGAGATAAGCTATTTAAATGTTGAAGACCTATATTACAACTCTTACATTATTCCAAATATCCAACTTATCTCAAAGTTTTATATCTCAAATGACCCAAATTCTTATAAATAATTATACATTTAGAATATATTAATGAGGTTTTACAGTAGAAAAAGAATTAAGGAAGGGCATTAAAGTCCTTCAAGAGTTTCCATAAATGTGATCCACAAGAATTGGGACATGTTCCAAACTGCACTGTGTTAACCTGCCAAGCCAATGAACATTCAATCTTGGTGTCTTCAAATATAATGATGCTCTTTTAGTAGTCTAAAAGAGAAGGGAAACTAAGATGATTACTCCATTTTTTATTAGAGTTCTAATCTCTGCAGTAATTTCTTCTAGAAAAATAATACCAGTGATGAGAAAATACACTCTTCCTTTGTCCAACTTATTTATTTGAGGTTGTCTCTTACTTGCACTAAGGCTCCCATTCTCAAAAAGAAATCGAAGGGCTGATATACAGCAAGGCATCAAAGCATTCTTTAGAAGGCTCAGCAACCACTATGGATACTGCCAGGAAATCATTCCAAACACTCTCATTTTGAAAAAGGCAGCAGTCATAAGGGGAAGGGAAGTGGATGCTGTCAGAGGTGGCAGGTGTTTTGAGGCCAGCAGTGTTTTGTTTTTAATGAGGCACAGTTGCGCGTTTCCAATTGTGTGCCACAAGGGAGCAAGGCATCCGAGGGCTTCTTAACTCTTTTACAATCATCACCTTGGAGGAAAAGAACACTTTGGTAAGATACAAGTCTGGCAAGCTTTTTAGGCAGAAAAGCTGAACCGGTTAGAATACTTAAAAAAAAAAAAAAAAAGCATGCGTTCCAGTCTGAAAAATAAAAGTAAAAATAAACTCCAAAAACAACTGGATAAAGTGAAAGTTATGCAAAACTGGATACTACGTTTCTTCCCTTTGAGGCGGAAGAGGCATGGGAAAGGAGCTACATTGTTGCTTCTTCCCTACAACTTCGTGTAATGTAGATCTCTCTCAATAGCTTTTCCACTCCTTACGTTAAAAGCGAAGTGTTACAAAGAGTTGACTCTTGTGGTATCTTCCCAGAGTACTTCAAGTAAAAGGGAAGAGATACATGTGTCAGTCCTGCAGTGTCCCGTTAAAGAGGGCAGCAGTGCTGGGATAAGAATGAGTTAACATGCTCATTTTAACTATAAATCCGCTTATGCTAAAAAGTGTCGCGGTTTCATTTGCTTTATCCCAGACTCCACACTGCGCCCATAGAAGCTTCGCTAGAGAATGCTCTGTTCACCTTCAAAACAGAGTGTTTTATCGGAGTCACTTTACAATTTGGTGGCAAGTAAGGCGAAAGTCAAAAGCATCCTCAAACCACCTTTAGTTAGTAAACTGCGGGGTGTGGGGTTCATTAAGAATAAGAGGATCGGTTAACCCCTCTTGCCAACGTCCGGGATGAATCTCAAGAGTTGTGTTTACAAGGCAGACACGGACCCACACTGTTGTGTGTGCGCCCGTGTACCTTAAACAGAGGTAGGATGTGGACCTACGGGTGAAGTCTTTGGAGTTTCGTGAACTCCTAGGAAAAGGTGGGGAGGGAGAAAGTCGTTCCGTTTTGATTTTGCGAGGTCACTTCTAGGGACTCGTCCGCGAGCGCGTTCCGGTAGCGTAAAGCCGGGCCCGCGGCGGCCGACAATGATCCCGCCCGACACGGCTCTGCCTCCTCCCTAGAAGGGCGCGTGGGCCAGGACCCGCAGTCCGCCAGCTGCCCGAGGTCGGCTGGACGCTTGGCCCCGCCCCCGCCCGCTCCCGACGACCCTCGGAGGCAGCGGAGGCGTGCGACTCACATGTGCGGGTTCCTCCTGAAGGCGTTAGTGATGTCCTTCACCACCCGCTGCACCAGCACTGCCACTTCCTCGTTCGTCTCGGCCATGTTGGCGGCGGCCGCGGCGGTTCGGGCGCGCCTCCGCAAGAGCCGGGCCGCCGGCGGGAGTTCCGCGGGGAGCGCGCGCGCGGGTGCGCCGGCTTGACCGCGCCCCCGCCGCCGCGGCCGCCGCCGAGCACTTCCGGGTCAGCCAGCCGGCGGCCTGGGCGTGGCGCTGGCTAGAAGACATCTCAGGGAGTGGAGGAGTTTGCCTCGGCGCGGGTAACGAGTTTCTAAGCGTCAGAAAAGACGCTGCACATTTGTTTGCAAAGTTCTCTCAGGCTGCCGATTTTGTTATTTTATTTTTTAGTTCACTAGGAACCGAGGAGTAAGGAGACCTCCAGACACACTCCCTGAGAGTCAGAGACCTGGCTGAACCCTCAGCCAGGTCCGGGCATTCCTGAAGGAATGTTCAACTGAGGGTGCAGGGCCTCTTAACAGTTAGTCCTAGGAGTTTTTCAGAGCTTGTCCGCTTTATTTTACCAGCCGGAGGGATGAGAAGGTCCAGAGGTGTTGGGGCGGAGCGAGTCCCTATTTGACCGTGTTGGTGACCCCCTTTCTAACTGCCAATTTCGGTCTCAACTTGAAAGCAGTCCTTTTTAAGAACATTAAAATTCTTAAATTTATTAAAGGAAGACAAAGGAAAGTGAAGGAAAAGTTGTTTGCCATCTGGATGTAGGAAGCAGAAGTAATAGCTTTTAGATTTTTCGATCTCATTTTGTACTGCATTTGGTAGTCTTTGCGTCAGTTTTGGAATTACTAAAGGATCAAGACCTTGATAGGGTTTGGTCATAATAGCAAAAATGGATTTTTGTAGGAAAAACGAGCTTTCTGGTTTATTTGGGATTTTGAAGTGCCGTAATTAAAATGTTTATATATCAGGCTTTTTTTTTTTTTTCCCAGACGGAGTCTCACTCTGTCGCCAGGCTGGAGTGCAGTGGCGTGATCTCAGCTCACTGCAACCTCTGCCTCCCAGGTTCAAGTAATTCTACTGCCTCAGCCTCCCGAGTGGCTGGGACTACAGGGGCGCGCCACCACGTCCAGCTAATTTTTGTATTTTTAGTAGAGACAGGATTTCACCATGTTGTCCAGGATGGTCTCGACCTCATCATCCGCCCACCTCGGCCTCCCAAAGTGCTGGCATTACTGGCATAAGCCACCGCTCCCGGCCTGAATCCTAAATCTGGCTGCCTTTGGTTCAGTTTCTCCCGCCACTGAAATGTTTCTTTAAAAACTTTTTTTTTTTTTTTTTCAAAACAAACTCATGGTGGTTTTAATGTGAACATACGTGGAGCATTTGAAGTAGTGTTTATAATAGTTGAAAAAAAAGGCTATGTATTGGACGTAATGAGAAATATAAACGAAAAATATAAATTTATTATACTCAGTGGTCAGTATTTCCTTTGGGTATGTTTATAAAGGCTGGACTAGGCCTTCTGGTTGTAAAAGAAGTGAGATAGAAGTTTTACAAAATTGTAGCAAGCAAGGTGGGACAGGTTTAAGAATTGGTAAAATCGGCCGGGTGCAGTGGCTCACACCTGTAATCCCAGGACTGGGAGACTGAGGCGGGTGGATCACTTGAGGTCAGGAATTCGAGACCAGCTTGGCCAACATGGTGAAACCCCATCTCTACTAAAAATACAAACTTAGCCGGACATGGTGCTGCATGCCTGTAGTCCCAGCTACTTGGGAGGCTGAGGCAGGATAATCGCTTGAACCCAGGAGGCGGAGGTTGCAGTGAGCCAGAATGGTGCCACTGCACTCCAGCCTGGGCAAAGCAGAGAAAAGAGTGGAATATGTGTTTAGATTCCAAGGAAAAAGACAACTTTAAATATCCCGATTAAGAATGTTATACCAGTTCTTAAATTAAAATTCTTAAATTTAGTAAGTTTTCTCAGTCAGTATCTTGCATTCTAATGGCAGTGGGAAATAAATCCCAGCTTCTGGAGGCAGAGATCAAAGCAGCACACTCAAAAATAATGATTTTCCCCCAAAGGCTTTATTTAACAGGGAAAAAAGCAAACTTTGTCCCCAAATCTTGATGTAAAACTGATATTTCAGAAACAGAATTTCTCTGTATAATTCTTTTTATGCCCTGTCCACATACAACCTCTTTATAGTCATTTGAAAGGCATGCATTATATCTTGTTTCTTCTAAGAATTCACAAAATTGCTTCACCCCAATCATTAAGAATCTACCATGTTTAAAAGTCGATTTTTGTTGTTGCTGCTGCTGTTGTTCTTAGAATTGGAACATACTAGAACTCTGAGCCAACTCTCTAATTTTATGGATAAGAAAATTGAAGTCCAAAGAAGTTAAGATTTGAAATTCATGAATCCTTAATAATGATATATACAAGAATAGGGTATGATAAATTTAGCATGCTTTTGTTGAAGGACTAAAAGATTTATGTTCAGTGATCTGCAAAACATTTATTGATAATAAAATATAGTATATAGTTAAAATACCCAATGAGAGAGTATTGATGAAATTATAAATTTATGTGGTAAGATGCTATTTAGACACTTGCAAATCATATTATAATTAGAAGAATATATGCCAAAGTATTAGAGGTATATTCATGGGACAATTTGACTATGCAATGCAAAGAGCAAAGTAACATTTTTAATTTAAGATTTTTCTGGGGGGGGGATGGAGTCTCTGTTGCGCAGGCTGGAATGCAGCGGTACATGTCCAAGTGATTCTCCTGTGTCAGCCTCCTGAGAAGCTGGGATTAGAGACACACGCCACCACGCCTGGCTGATTCTTCTATTTTTAGTAGAGACTAGGTTTCACCATGTTGGCCAGGCTGGCCTTGAATTCCTAACCGCAACTCCTGACCATCCACCTCAGCCTCCTAAAGTGCTGGGATTACATACTTGAGCCACTGCACCTGGCCTAAGAAAAGTTTTTTAAAGCGTATATTAATAAAGAGCTGATATATTTATTTGTTAATTAGCCAACTATCTCATGTGCATACTAATTTTCTTACAGATACATTGATTTTTTTTAAGTGACTGTGCCTTGTGGATATATTTTGACAGTCTTCCTACCTACTCCCAAAAACCACGTTTCTTATTTTAAAAGACTAATTGATGATAGAAGAAAATGTGGATATGTAATGACCAAAACACATACCAAATGCAAATACAATGCAATTCAATTCTAATTGCAAATATACAGTACAAATTGTTCATAATACAGATAAAATTGTATATATATATATATATATATATATAATAGGGGATATAAAATAAAATGTTAGCAATGATTATTTCTATATGATAGAATTGAGATAATTAAGACCACTAAATATATATATTCTTTATACTTTTCTGGATGTCCCAAACTTTTACAATGAAAAAAGGTGTGTCTTGAGGACTCTGGAGGGAAGGAGGACAGTGAGGTAATTTTAACAACTTTTGTGAAGGAACGAAGGTGTCTTGTCATCTGTTTCCATCTTTGCTTTGTATTATTCTGCTTACATTACTGACATGTTGTTTATTACTCCATTTATTTTTATTTGAAGCCCATTTTCTGACATTTTACAAAATAGAATTCAAATAGTACTAAATACGTTCTACCATATGCTAGCTATTATTACAGAAAGAACAATCTTATTTTCTCCATTACAAAAATTAAATAGCTGAGTGCAGTGACACACTTCTTTAGTCTCAGCTACTCTGCAGGCTGAGAGGATTGCTTGAACCCAGGAGTGTGAAGATCAGCCAGAGCAACATAGCAAGACTTCATCTCAAAAAAATTAATGCCAAATTTTAAATAGTTTATTATATTGCCATTGTGGTTACCTGTATCTTGAGTTTTGCCAGAGCTCAGCCCTATCCACTATCTTAAAATCTAAAATTTAAGAACTTACTAGCAAAGAAATAGGAGAAAGGTAACATAGTATTAACCAGGAAGCCACAATATTGATGTATTTTATGAATTCTTAAGAAAAAACAACAGGAATGGTGTTCATCTTTAAAATTTTTGTTAAAGATTATTTCAAGAAAAGGAACAGAATTCAATAGATATATTTTAAAAGATATGTACGTTAAACTTACGACATTTGTATGCTCTTTGTCTTGGTATGTTAGTTTATTTCCCCAAATATGACTCACTATATCCAAGAACTATTTAAAAATATCACAAAACCACCCATGCATAGTAGTACATCTATTGTTAGAATTAGTTGATATTTCTAGCTCTTCATTATTCAAATTTTTGGGATAGAAATGAGAGAATACATGTGATAGCATCTTTAAACTGAGAAGCACTGTTCAAGTTATTGTTTATTTCTATGAATAAAGAAAGTATCATTACTAGTAAATCCATATAAAAACACAATGGTGAACTAAGGCTAAGCTAAATAGTTTCAATGTGAAACTTGTTTAACACTTTTAAAGAAAAAAAAATTTTTTTTTTTAAAGATGGAGTCTTGCTCTGTCACCCAGGCTGGAGTGCAGGGGTGTGATCTCTCCTCACTGCAACCTCTGCCGCCAGGTTCAAGCAATTTTCCTGCCTCAGCCTCCTGAGTAGCTGGGACTACAGGCACCCGCCACCATCCTGGCTAATTTTTGTATTTTTAGTAGAGACAGGGTTTCACCATATTGGCCAGGCTGGTCTTGAACTCCTGACCTTGTAATCCACCCACTTCAGCCTTCCAAAATGCTGGGATTACAGGCATGAGCCACCACACCTGGACCTAAAGAGAATTTTTATACCGCTATTACAGTTAATCTAATTAAAGCATGAACTTTTTCTATCCTGACAAAGTACGTAAATGTTATCAAGATGATAATAATGAAGATGACTTTAAATGACCAGTTTATGCTGATGATAGAACCCATGAAGATACAGGGGTGGGGAACTAGTTATATAAATGGTTTTTGTTGCTGAGTAAGTGATATTTTATTTTATTCAACAGTTCTAATGTATCATCTGTTTTTTTTTTTAATATATATATTTTTGTTTTGCCCTGTTCTTCCTTCCTCCCACAGAGGCCCAGGAGACTCATTATGTAATCTTTAGAAAAGAACAGGAGAAAATGTCTAGAAAGAAAGAGCCATTCCAGGACCTACATATGGA